GCTCTCCCGAACCGGTGCTGGCAGAAGACGAGGTTGATTTCCTTTGCTCAAAGGTCCTGGGATTTTAGCACAGGAACTTTTTGTCAAGTCCACTTACAGGGGGAAAAAAGCCCGCCGTGCTGCAGCCAAGCTACCCTGGCTTTCCAAACTCCAATTAGAAGTTGTGATTTCCAATACTAATCACTCCCTCGTGGGGAGATCTTTGGAAACTACGATATAGCCGTTTAGGCTGGAATGCCTTCTTGTTTATAGCAGCTCGAAGAATAGTTTCGAGATAGAAGCGAGGAGAGGCCGATCACGGAGGCAATAGCTCACAAGGAAACATCGAGCTGTGTACACACGCCTCATAATTACCGGATTAAATATTTATGCGCTCGTACATTTCTAATTCACAGCGCCGTCTTTTATTTCCTCCTCTCACGACTCTGCCTCCGAGCCAGATGAGAGCTGGGTTTTGTCTTGGGCTAGTAATACCAGGCACTCCTAAGAGGGTTCCAGAAGATTTCACTGGTCTGTGGTTGCCATGTCTACCATTAGAGAATGTTGCAATACTATATTTTCATTAACTAGAAGCACGTACGTTTTGAGAAGTTTTTGTTGAATAAAGTTTTGTATGTGACCCGCTTGGTGGTTTGGGTTAGATGTTGTTTACAAATTGGATATAAATTGTTCTTGGACCATACCATGCAGTTCTAGGTGTTTGTCTCAGAACATGGCCCCGTTAAGTCACCATCACGTCTCTGAAATTTTCACTGGGTCTGAATGCATCATCGTTGACCTTAGGGCCATACCACGCTCTGTCCCCTTCTCATGTTGAGTTTAGATTCCACCATGTCCAAGGACATTGAAACTGCCTTCTTCTTTAAGGTTTAAAGAAACCTCCAGATCCTTTTCCAATGAATGCCTTGGTACCACCAGACCTGTAGTAGCTATGGATTCATCAGATTTTGCACTGGATATTCGCATGCCGGGGGTCACACCTAAACAGGTAAGGGGATTCTCTATTTTTCTCTTGCCCTGTATTCATTCTGTAATTAAAGCCAGGAAACACATTTACAGCTGTAGTAACTTCTTAAAAGTAGGCATCTGCTCTTCAAAACCCCTCAGATAGGGTTAGAATCATCGACTCTGATCAAGAGGAGGAAATCTTTCAAGGTTCAATTAAATTTGTGTTAACCATTTACTCACTATTTGTGCTTTGAAATGGAACCTCAAAAATTGACATTCTGAGACTCTCTCCAAAGTGAGCCCCTCAGTAATGCAAAAGGTAAGTATGCATTAAACTGTGAGCATTTATCCCAGGAAAGGGAAACCTATTAAACAGCGGCATCTAAGAGATTACTTTGTTTAAATACCCTTCCATCACAGTCAGAAGTTGAGATAGAAGAGCATGTGTTTACTGCCGACAATCTGAAAAACACAATAGCCCATGCTTTAAAAGTTAAGGAAATTGCTCATACAGGTGGGTGGGTAGTTTTCTTGAGCTTGACTTGCTGGCTACAGAGTTTTTAAAGAAAGAATGGCAGCACTCATACAAATGGGACTTACAGGTGTCTCAAGTGGGACTAGATCGTTGCTAGGGCCCTCCCTATCTCAGGTACGTGCAAGAAGCTCAATCCCACTGCTGTCATGTGTGCAAGGTGTTTCATTAAGCATAAAAAGGCCAGGATTAATTAGGCTTTGCAGCCAGGCAATGCAGCGATTTCTGTGTGTCATTGCCAGGTAGTCTTCTCCTCTTGAAGGGCTGCAGAGACAGGGAAAGACCTGAGTGTGGTAGAGCTGCAGGGGTTGATGACTCATTGTTGCAGATAACATTCCGTTTTCTTTTGTTTTGTTTCTTTTGTTTTAATGGGGGGGGGGTGATGCAATTATTTTACTTGTTCTAGAGAATACTCTTTGAAAGTGACATCCAGAAGTTCTAGAAAACACTCCTGGCCCTTTTGTCAGGGACTAAGGATTAATACTCATTTCTTTGAAGACCCATGTATCATCTAATTATCTACAAATAACTGCTTCGCTGCTGTAAAAATGACCCTCACCCCCTCCTTTTCTGAAATGTCTGAGAAAATGACTTTTCTCTGCCTTCCGTTGTTCCTATCCTGACCTTCAATTTCATAAGCTCCTTATTTAATATTTCACCAGAAGAGATACTAAGATTGAGACTGGGAGGAAAGAATGGCAGTTGCCCGCTGTGGAATGTGCCTCTTGTCTCTTCTCACTTTAAAAAACAGATTTTTTTTCTCCTGCATTTGCTTAAAATGAGTTTATATTACTTCTTTTAAAATATACTCTAATTGGCTCTTTAAGCACTCTTTTCTCACAAGAATATCGTGATTTTATCAAATAGTCACGTGTTGATTCATTAGTATTATGTTATTTTTTTCCTTCTTATTCTTTAAGAGTAGTAACATTTAAATTATTTAGCAATAATAGTAATGGGCAACTGTATTGGGATCGATAATCTCAGAAAGGGTTCCTAGAGGATTCCATTAGAAAAGAATGTGGAAGACCTCTATTTTCATAAACCAAAATGTGTTTATTAATTTTTGCAATCTGATAATCATAAAAATAACCCCATGGGGGGAAACACATGCATTATTTAAATGACTGCAGATAACAAACTAAAAGCCTGCATGATCTGGGTTCACCTTTGCCTGTGCAGCAGACATTGGCTGTTACCTTCCCAGCAAGGTGCTTCCTTGCTGCTTCTCCAAGACCATGTGGTTCCAAGAAGCTGTCTACCCAGGCTTCCGCGGTGGAGCACACGGGCTAGCACTGGGGAGGGACTGTGTCCCACCTCTCCTTCCACGGTGGTTGGTTCAGAAGGTGTAGGACCCAGACCAGTCTAATCAGATCTCAAAATTCTTCCTAGGAATGCATTTTCTGTTCCATGTGAGCACTAGACATGGTGTCTGAGAGTCCGCTGAATTTGTGAGGGAACCACGCTTAGAACAAAACTAATACCATAAAGGACCAGCAGGTAGCGTGGAGGTTAAGGTGTTGAATCCTTCATGCACAGCTCCACAGTTCGTTTCTCAGGCCCTGTGGTTTGAAAATCCTGCTGAGTGATTAGAGAAGAATAGAAGAGAGGGAATTTTGGTAAGGCGGGATGGGTAGTGATTTTTCCCTTTCCTGCTCTATCTCTCCAGCAAAAATGAAACAAACAAACAAACAAAAGAAAACTAATATCATAGTAAGGAAGAGGTTCTTGATGACGTCGCTACTTACGGAATTTCCAGTTACGTTTGCTTTTCTCATTTCAGCCAGATTAAGCTGGGGTCTGTCTTACTTGCAGCTGAAACTCCTTGACTGGGCAAGCGATGGAGTTGCTGTGCTGGATCAGCTCAAGCAGTGGAGAACATCCACTTTTCTCTGTCACTCCTTGGCCACGGGCCATCACTACTTGACCTGGTCCATCTGACACAGATGTCATACTCCTCGTAAACAGTCATGAGAAATGGTAGTTAGACCATTGACTACTCCCAGGAAGAGCCGGATACAGAATCCTGGGACCTCTGACCTTCTGAACTTGGTGTTCTGGGTGAGGAAGACCAAGAGCTGATACCAGGGATACTTTTTGCGAAGAAAGTATTCTTTCATTAAAATGCAGATAAAATTAGAGGGGACCAGCAGTTGGCATAATGGCTACGTTGCTGGACTCCCATGTAGTTGACCGCGGTTTGAGTCCCGGATCCAGTGGCTTAAACTCATGCCGGGCATGTGTGCGTGCGTGCCCAAGATCCCAAGAGGAGAATGGAGGAGAACGGATTGTGTCATAGCCCCCCCTCCTGGAGGGTGATTTCTCACTTTCTATATCTCTGTGTCTTTCTGGCAAGCACACATGCGCTATAGCAAAAACTTCTCCAAAATAAATAAATAAATAAATAAATAAATAAATAACAATTAGAATTAACACAGAAAGAGGATAAAAGGCAAGGTAAAAAATGAAAAAATATAAGAGGGAAGAAATTAAAGGGGAAAGAAAAGTAAGAGTTGACAAAAGTCCAAAAAATAAAAAGGTTAAAACAATAATAAAGAGGAAAAAATCAGTAATAACTGCAATATAAAAGACAGAACATTTGAAAACTTAGAAAAAGAAGAGAAGGAAAATGTTGAAAAAAATGGTAAGACATTGAGGAGTGAACACATTTTTTTGTCTTTGAAGTTCAGAGGCTTAAGAAGAATAATAAAATTTAAAGAAAGGAATAGAGAAGAACCTGAGTTGGTAATTGAGGCACAGTAAGTTGTTAGAAAAATATATTCATTTAACAGATTTTTTAATTTTTTACAAGAATTATTTAATTTATTTATTTTCATTTGACCAGAGAGGTACAGAGAGAGAGAAAGAAAGAGAGAAAGAGAGAGAGAAAGCAAGTTGCCAGGTCCAAGAATCAAAACACAGTTGACCATGTGGGAGTCCAGCATCCCCAACTACCATGCCACCTGCTGGCCCCAGATTTTTTTTGAGAGATTTTTTGCTATAGAGTACATGCTCTCACCGGAGAGACAGAGGGACAGAAAGCTAGAAATCACCTCCCAGGCGGGATGGCCACACCACAGTCCCTTCTCCATTTTCCTCTTGGGATTATAGGCACACACCTACACACATCTGGCGTGAATTTCAAGCCTCCAGATCTGGTACTCAAACCGCTGTCTACCACTTGGGAGTCCAGCACCTTAACCACTACACCACCTGCTGGACCCAGATTTTTTTTTTTTTTTTTTAAGTTATACCTTAAGTTTTGGCAGTAGTGAAATCTGCATGAATAAATCTGATGGGCCCAGCTGCTGTGACACAGTTGATAGCATTCTGGACTGCAGAGCTGGAAGACACATGCCAACCGTGGTTCAATTCCCCGGCCCGGTTGCTGGACATAACGTGTGTGCCCAGAATCCTGAACTAGAGGAATGGAGAAAGGGGAATCACACCAAGACCAAGCCTTGTAGAGGGTGGTTCTTTTTTCCTTTCTCTTTCTCTCTTTCTTTTCTCTCTTATGTAAGCACACATACTCAGTCATGGAAAAAAAATTAATAAAAATAAAAATAAACCGGATATAAACCCTTTCCTTGGGAAACTTGAGATTGTAGGCTTAGATAGAGAAACAAGCAGACGAAGACTAATAGAATCTTAGACAAAAAACAAAATTTGATTCTCTTCTATAACATTTCCTTTTTTTTTTTTTTTGAGAGGTTTTCCCTATAGGGCGCGTGTGCTCGCCAGACAGACAGAGAGAGACAGAGGGACAGAAAGTGAGAAATCACCCCCCCAGGGGGGATGGCCATGCCGCAATCCCTTCTCCTCCATTCTCCTCTCGGGATCTTGGGCACGCATGCGCACGCGCCCGGTGTGAGGTTTAAGCCACCGGGTCTGGGATGCGAACTGCAGTCGACTACGTGGGAGTCCAGCGACATAACTATTATGCTAACTGCTGGTCTCTATAACATTTCCTGTTAATCAATATTTTTTTCCTCCATATTTTGGGACAGTTTGGAAGAAAAGTAGGTGGCTTTTTTATTATTATTCATTGTCATTATTTTATTTTTTTGAAGTTGACCATTGAGAGAGAAGGAAAGTGAGGATGCAAGCTGCCAGGTTTGGGACTCGAACCACAGTCAGCCACGTGGGAGTCTGGCTGCCTTAATCACCTGCCGGCCTCAGCACAGAAGTAAAGTAAGGATCTGGTGTCCAATGGTGTTGGCTTCAAATACAGCAGAGCCACAAAGAGGCTGTCTCCACAAAGTGAGAGGCTCATCTTTTAGCACTTTCTCTTACTTCTTCCAGCCCCTTTCTCACTTGGGACCCTGTGACTTCTGTTGTCACCAACTCTGACATTGTGAAAGAAAGCAGTTTGATAAATTGCCTGTTCATGGTCATGACAGTGTGCTTTCATCAGTTTGATGTGGTGATTATCCCGTGTTTGATCTTAAAATAATGAAAGCCTAATCACAGTCATTCCGTATAAAGTTTAATATCTACAGCTAAGTCCG